CTTATGGAGCATTCAATAGCCATACAGACATTCAAGACAAGGGAACCACCTTCTAATTCTGCCTGAAAGCAGCTTTCCACCATACTTCCCGCATGCTATAAGGCCGGCTCTAGTGAGACCACACAGACCGGCTCTTTCCCGTCTATTGAAGAGTTGTTTTCTGACGATGCCGCGATCGATTGGATCTTGACAACACAACAAAGACTTTTTGTCGACACGACAGTTCACACATTTTTCTGAAAATAAGCTGCGATTCTTGTTTTGTTCAATGTTTCTGAGTTCTGGTGTTCTGCCAACTTCTCTGGTATTCATTACGACGAAGTTGAAGGAGCAGTCCATAAAGAAATTGCGGAGGGGCAACACCAGGAACAGATAACGAAGGCAGCAGCAAAAAGCACGTGGCGATGGGCGAGAGGCGTCAAACAAGCTGCTACCGAGGCTAGTGCGGGATCAAGCAGGGCATCAAGCACGCGAGATACAATGAGGAACAATAAGCAGGAAAAAACAAGAAGAAAAGAAAGGGCCTTCCAGATGCATCGTTAAGACTGAAAGGATTTTAAATTGAAGTTTCTCGTTCTTCATTATTCTTCTTGAAGCATTGGCTCGTGCGCTGCATTCCAGCCACGAGTCTGGCCTACGTGTTCACGCTTACCGAAAACGTCATTTCCTTGACTACACACGAAGCGCATGCGCCTGTGGCAACAGCGCAGAAAATGGCTAAGTCGCTGCCAAAGGTATTGAAGGTGGCTGGGAGCCTTGTTTTTGTTAATATTCAAGGCAATGTTTCTGAGCTGCAATGCGCATCTTCACATCATCAGTATGACGAAGTTGACGAAGGAAAAGTTGACTCCTTTGCCGTGGCCAATCCCATCTATAAACCCCCGCCAAGAAAGGTAGGCGTCAAACAAGATGCTACCATATCCGAAAGGACAGTATTGCGGGAGCGAAAAAGGATCCTACCAACGAATCAAGCTGACAAAACTGCTGAGCAAACTGACAATGAGGAGAAGCAAAGTAAGAAACAAATAAAGCAGAAAAAGGATGGAAAGAAGAAGCAGAAGAAAAGGATTCCATTTTTCAATAAAACAGATTCGGAACCTGAACAAGTCAATGTGTTCAAGCTCCAAAAATGATAGTTTTAAATGTTGTTGTTCGTCTGTGTTGTTTTTATCTTATAAGATGAGACACAAATGTCATGGACCAAAATAATTCGGATCCAGACCAATATAATTCGGATCCAGACCAAAATAATTCGGATCCAGACCAAAATAATTCGGATCCAGACCAAAATAATTCGGATCCAGACCAAAATAATTCGGATCCAGACCAAAATAATTCGGATCCAGACCAAAATAATTCGGATCCAGACCAAAATAATTCGGATCCAGACCAAAATAATTCGGATCCAGACCAAAATAATTCGGATCCAGACCAAAATAATTCGGATCCAGACCAAAATAATTCGGATCCAGACCAAAATAATTCGGATCCAGACCAAAATAATTCGGATCCACACCAAAATAATTCGGATCCACACCAAAATAATTCGGAGCCAGCTGTGGAATGTCTATCCTGTACCCATTTCGCTAGTTCAGCATAATCTTCCTCAGTAGCTGAGTTCCGACTTCTCCCACCAAATCTGGCTTGAGCTCTTTCCCATTTACACCTCCAGAAATGAAACAAGCACAAGTTTAGAGATCACTCTCGTTTGCCCCGCGTTTATTGTGTAATCCCCTTTTTAACTAACTCAGCGTAGAAGGTTGTAATTTGCAATTGTTGAATAATATTGGCAGTGAGTCCCGTCACAATAAGCTCAAAATTCCAATCAGCAGAATCTTGGTTGTCCAAAATTCCTATTTTCTCTCGTTCCACGTTCCGGAAAATCAGGCTAATCAGTCAACTACAGCGATAGACCTGTTCAGGTGCTAGTTAATATGGATGAGGGTGTTGGGTACTCCAAGGGATTTCAAGAAGCACGAGCACGGCAAATTTTCCAAATGGAATTAGAGTTTGTTCAGTGTCTTTCAAATCCAGATTATTTGCAGTGTAGGGATGAAAATGATCAATTGAACTCATTTGTTGTTTGGCAGGGTTGGCCAAAAACAGATACTTTGATCAACCATCTTTCATAAATTATTTAAATTATCTTCAATATTGGAAAAATCCAGAGTACGCGCTTCATGTCCAGTAAGTCGTTCTCCTCACGTTCGGAAACTGCATAATGCTTTGTGATGCATTCGACGTCTTTAGCGCCGCATTTTTGCAAAGTGTGTGTTTTTTCAGATTTCCCCAATGTCTGCGTTTATTGGATGCTTTGCAAGACCCAGAATTTCGTCTTCAACTAAATTCAAATGATGCAATTATAGAACTGAAAAGACAGCAATCACATCAATGGGTAAGGCCGATGGATGCTTGCCAGCCAGTTTCATCTGAGCCCCTTTCTCATTTATGTTTTACAGATCTATTTTGATCGCACATATGAAGACGTCTGTAAATATTTCCAGTATCAAATATAAAGATCATTCTCGAGCAGAAGCAGCTGCGGAAAAAATAATTGAATAAAATCAATCAGGGGACACCAAGTGCTTATACAATGAAGCAACACTTCATATACTATAGGATATTAGTCCATCATCAAATAATCTTCACAACACGAGGATGGCAGATTTCCTTATTTTGTTCTTTGTTTTTTTCTTGCTCTGAGAGGGATGTTTATCGGTGTCCAACCAGAACAATACGGACTGTTCACTGTGAGGCATGTTTCAAAAACTGGAAAAAAATCAAGGAAACTTGTCTTTCGGGCTCCAAAACTTATTGTTGAACGATTTCTGCGACTTTTTCGATCCACCGCATGTATTCCCTTTGTTCCTTGTCAACCGCCATTGCGTCAATGAAATCGCACAATTCTTCGTTAATGCCCAACGACGACAGCCACTCATCGATACCGCTTTGCAAGTGATCGTCTAAGTCTTCGAACTCGGGACCGTTGTAAGCAGATACTGAGGTCTTCTCTTCGTTGTCTTCGAAATACCGGACATTTCCAACAATAAAGCGATATTTTTCATCATTGCCTACTGTGGTGCAATAAAAAATGGCACCATTTCCATTTGGCTTTTCAACTGTCACGCTGAAATCAGTAGTCTCTTGGGGCTCTATGGGAGTGTCCTCTTCGCCCTCACCTTCACCATTGTAAGACGGTGAAACCAATTGAAACTCTACTGTTGCCGCCAATTCCCCAATCTGCTTTTTAAGCGTCATGTTGATGTCTCCGCCTTTTTCTGTCAACTTCCAGCCAGATTTTTCTAGAAATGGAGCGATGTTTGCGGCCGCTTCATAATTCGACTTCTCATATTGAAGTTCGGATTGAAGTGTTGATGCAAGTTTGGGTGTGGGGGAAGTTGCGTCCGCCTTGGGAGCTGCAGCACTGAACCAGCGGTGCTCTGGCAAGGAAGGAACTTGGCGGAAAATTCCTACACCTGCTGCTGGGCAAGCTTTAACTCGACGGGTTGTTACAAATGCACGGGCGATGGCGGAGCGCATCATAATCTTCAACAGTTATGAATCGTCGCGGCCTTCTGGGCGTGAACAGGCACTGCACAACAATGCGCTACATGCAGCAATAAAAACAGCATTTAATTCTGTTGTGTTGATAAAATTTGGTGGACGTCTTCATCACTGCTATGCAAGAGGCGAAGTCTATCGACACCGAAACACACCAACCACAAAGATAAAACATACAAAAATGATTGAAGACCAAAACAAGCGAACATGGAACGGGAGGGTCTTGAGCTTCGGATGTAAAAACCGACAGAAGTGGACGGAATGAAATTACAGAACGCTAAGCGGCCATCCGAACCGCGAAGTTCATTCTATCCAACCTAAGAGCATTTCAATAGACTTGTCTCATGCAAGAATTGCGTACTGAACATACCACCTCGTGGTAATCTGAACTGAAGAAATGGGAAAACGTGGCAACAGATCATTGTGAATACAATCTGGAATACATGAACACTTCATGGACAAAATGGGGAATCCAATTTCACACAGCGAATTGAAGGTTGACAATTCACTTGTATGAAGCATGAACCCCAGTGTCATATCAAGCCGAATGGCACATGGGAACTCAACGAAACGAAGAAACGGCCCGTGGTGTTATTTGACCTTGAAGGCCCAGAGGGGAGGGAAATAGCTGGCACCATTTTGGTTGTCAGGGGGCGGTTCTCGGCGACGCATCAAAGGAGGTCAAGTAGTATCTCTTCAAATGCTGGTAATTGTGGGCGGTGCTGTTGCTCTCATTATCAGCGCTGTCATTATCGGTGGCACTTTGGCATCCCCACCGGCCTGAAAATAAAGAACTGTTAAAAAACCAACCGAGAGTGAATTACCTTTGGAGTCCGGTAATACACCAGCAGCTATCAGCTTCGCCTTTTGTGTCCAATATGCATCCACCCTGAGAACCAATATATGCATCCAAACAACGAAGCATTTTCTCACCTTTTTTGGCCATAATACAACATGTCAAAGGACGTCGCAGTAGCTGCTTGAGGAGCGCGAATAACACTCCAAAATCCCCACAACATGTGACATGCAAGTTGGAAGCGCTCAACAGCATCAAGAACCGGATCGATTTTGTCGTGATCGCTTGTTTTAATGCTCGTCCGTAACAACTTGCTCAAGTACATAGCAATGAAGATACGACGCTTCTCAATCGATGGATAGCGCGTTGGGTCAATATGGAAGAATGGATACGCTGAAAACAGAGGGAACCAAATTGTCAAACCCCATCAAATGGATAAGAGGATGAAGACGACTTACAGTCAACACAGTAGTCACATGTCATTTCCCAGAAATACGATGCAATGTCATACGCGGGATAACTATATCCACTGTATTCGTAATCGATTAAACGCATGCACGTCTTGGTGACCATGATGTTATTCTCCTATGGAGGACGAAATTGAAAGGTAAGAGTGAGAGTATGAATAGTCGTACTTGGATATCGTTGTGACAAAAGGCTAGTCGTGTTACTGGTGTCTCTGCCACGCCGTCAGGAAAGAGGAACGACTGTAATCGATAAGATTCTTCGCATAAGAAAGGCAGATTCAAACGTTGAACCGCCAGATAGCTGGGATGGTCGGGACTGACTGAAAAGGGAGGACAAATGAATAATACACCAAACAAAATGACAAGAACCCCATCTTACATCCAACAAAACAATCAACAGAACCATGAATACTTAATAGCTCTGATGGAATAAAGTCACTTACTGTTTGCAAGGATTTCCATAGCCCCTTGACGCCACCGATTCAGAAACTTCTCGATGCAGGGTGTTGTATCAACAAGTTTGCTCAAATCTATTTGATGAATCCCTGCGAGAATTGCAGCGGCACCAGCTAGAACACCAGATTTCTTCATATCGGTCACCAACAACGCAGACCCTTCAATCCACTCTTCGATACGTCCGCCCTGCAGAGGATCAGCTTTATAGACGTTGATACTACTCATCAATACGCACCTCAACGTCAGCGATTAGTTGTGGAGCAACTCCACGCTTGCCAAGATGTTTGAATACGGAAACCTCAGTTTGCGAGTCGTACAAAGAGTTGACATCCTTTCCATAGACGCGGAATAACACTTGCGGGTGACAAAATCGCGGACGATCTGGATAGTCATCGCGGATATTGACTTTGAACAATTGGTTGGACAGGCCAGCCATGATTTGATCAACATTTATATCTTGGTCTAACAAATGATTCCATCCTGGGATGCGCTCTATGCAGATGGATTGTATGACATGCGGATTGGAATAAGAAGAAAAATGACGTGCTTGCTCAAATAAATCAGATGCTGTTCTCATACGATGCATCGGCAAATCCTTTAAAGACAACGGCAGCAAATCCTCCTCTGCATTTTCTGAAGCTTCTACGGAAGATAGACATAACTGAGCCAGCGATGGATGGAGAGGGGCGATGGTGGGAGTGCAGGGATCTGCTAGGGGCTCATCGGCCTCATACTCAACATCATTGCTCTGGCTTCCCTTCTTGCCAATTGAGAGATGGTCCCTAGGCGTCTCACAATCCGAAAAGGCGCTGTCATTGCTGCCACTTCGAGAGCGTTCCTTTCCTTCATATGTGGTCGCTATTTCGGAAACTCCTGATAGCTTGGAGTAATCCATTGAGCCGAACGATTTTTGCGGCGATCTTGTTGCGATTGGTGTGCAAGAATGATTTACGCTGCTTGGCACTTCAGCTGTTGACATATTGAAGAAGAGAAAGAAGTCTCAGCCACACGAAGTAGAACGGCGGCACACCACAAATGTTTGAAGTTTATATTCTCGAATGCGATTGAATTGCTTGTCGCGGGTTGTTATTTGAAGCTCCTTCTGTTTGAGAAAATAAGCCAACAACCCGAAACAATCCAAATTGAAAGGAATAATTTGATTTTTTTTGATTGTGCGCCTCAACAAAAAAACAAAAGAGAACCAGTGAAAATAAATAATGGTTCAAAGAAATGGATTGCTGGGATCTAAAATAAAGATGATTGTTGTTGTCCAGGGCACAGCAGATAGAATCTTGAGGCAAACTGACCCCGTAACTGGTGCTGGGTTTACCGCCAATCCTGTCCCATTACTGATATGCAAGGTTCGGCGCCTTTTACAAGTGCCATATTTTGCAAAGAGTACTTGAACCTTGTATCTGGCGCCTTCACACCTAGTTGGTTCATAAGATGCTTTGCCACAAAACCAGATGCCATCGCTGGTTCTTGATGGTTCAGAGTTGAAATTGGGGAAAGGATTAGGAAGGACAGTATTTCCAATATTGTTTCATTATGGACGCATTTCAAATGATCCTCCATTCATTCATGACGGAGGTTGGGAAGAGCGAGCAAAAAGCCGCGTTGTGTTTTCTTGTTAAAGTTGATCCTGACTCCTCTGGTTGTCCGTACTTGGGACGCTTTTCTTTTTTTGTACTGAACATCAATCCGCCACTTTCGTACCCATTCGCACGTCACGGCAGCAGCTCCAAGACGACTCCAAGGACTGCAGCCAGACTTCTCACGAGTCCCTCATCAGCGCGTTCCGCGGAAAAACATCAACTCATTTTTGGATCAAACGGAATCTTCCATTGTAATTCAAGGTTCCATCGGAGTTCAAGTCTTCCTCTTCAACTTCCAGCAATAGAAGTTCTGCAGCTCCATCGCTTCGAGTAGCTTCGTGTTCTGCATCAGTTTCATCAGACATGTCCGGCGGTGCGTTAATTCCCGTGTCATTCGTCAAATTAATTCGGCATCCTACAAAAGGGCCTTACGAGCTTTATTCGTGAGCCTCGTGTTAACTAAGTATCTTGATAACGATACTTCGCATTTTTCCTTGATAAATCTCACTCAGTATCAATTGTTGATTGATCTCAATGTAAATTGGTGATAAATCTCACTCAATAATGTAAATTGTTGATAAATCTCACTCAGTGATGGAGCAACATCTCCATCATGGTTTTCCGAAGATAAGGCCGAACGGGCGAAAGGAATGTTAAAGTTATCTGTTAGCGACAATATTTCTGTTTCCCTTGATGAATGTGCACGATTGCTATTAGACATTAATTAACAAATATGAAAATGTTGCCAGCTACCGGTTCACGCTTCTCGACTCCTTGATCGATCTCAATTGGAAAGAAGGAATGTCGTTCACCTGCAAATCAGGCGCGGGAGATTTGGGCGCAACTGCACAGTGATTGGCCCACACTAGAAGACATTTTGACCCACTGCTTTTTGCGGTCAATCCGTTTCCAGCTGCCAGTAATCCATCAGTCTTTAAGAAGTCAGCAGAATATCAACTTCAAAATCATCGTGGATACTGTGCAGGATTTGGCGAAAACGCCAGTTCAATCTTCTAGGACTGTTGTTCTGTACAAGTTAAGCGATTCGTCGCAACATATATGTGTTGCTATGCAAAAGGTGCTTATAGAATGAAGCAATACTTCATTCTATATTCATTAAACGCCAATAGAACCGAGCCAATCTTAGTTCTATTCAGATTTCTATTGAAACATCTTCAACTTAAAGAGGTTTGTAACAGCTCTATTCTATTTAAGTACAGATGTGTCTTGAGAAATGTTTATGTATTCTACTTCATAGTTCTCAATGAGGCTTGATGATGCAACGTGTATCATCGTGCTAATTTGGCAACTATTGAATAAGAAACATGCCCATATGCAACACTCTTAAGGATCTTATATCGTTTGCAGTTCGAGCTGCCGTGCACCATTGCACACCGCACACTTCACAAAGTGTCTGCCACAAAGTCCACCATCGACTTGGCCACCTAAACAACAACGATCTCAAAGTTCTTCAGCTGCTCACTTTGGCAAGTTCTTGTTCCACTTGCATTTTGTCAAAGATGAAAGCTCTTCCACATTTCAGAAAACACACTACCACTGCAATTCAACCGAACGACGTACTCTTTGTGTTGGCCTGTGGGTCTGACAATCAATTGAAAATGAAAAGTACGTTCTGATAGTTGTGGATGAATGGACAAGGTTCTGCCCAGCCGTCCCTCTTGCGCACAAGTTCGAAGCTGCCGCCTCAGTCATGGAGGTTATCGAAGTTTGGACAAATTGGACAGATCGGACGCCACTGCTTCTCAAATCAGATCGTGGAACCCAATTTGTCAACGAAAAGCTCGTGACCCTCCTGAAAGCTGAAGGGATTCTTCCAGCATTGACTGCCGCAAATGATTCCCCCAGCAATGGTAGAGCAGAAAGAGCTATGCAATAGTTCAATTCGCTGATCTGGTCTGGAATTCCAAGACGGTTTTGGCCATTCGAAATCCGAACAGCAGCCTACATTCGCAACAGACTCCCAACACACACCGGCCACTATCCAAAAGCTCCCATCGAAAAGTTCCTGCAACAAAATCCGAATTAAGACAACATGAAGACATGGGGTTGTTTAGTATACATCAAAAACAACAGTCATGACAAGCTCGCTCCTCGTGCAAATAAAGGTGTATTTTTGGGCTACACACTAACAGCTTCCATCTTCATCAGCTTTGATTCTGTTCGAAATCAAATTGGGAAATTCGTGACGTTGTCTTTGATGAGAACACGCCGGGTTCTGTCTTGTTCACAAAACAATTGCGGGATGTCTCACCAGCGCCCGTTCTCCTCGTGGAACAATCTCTTTCCGTCAACAGAAATTCCTACGCCAACGACACTGCACCCACTCATTCCAACTGCACAACAAAGTGCACAGCGTCTTCTATCTACACAACAAAGTGCACAGCCTCTTACAAGCCATCTACACAACTTCGTCGCTCCCTTCGTAATCTGTATTACCTGAAAATGCTGAACGCTAAAGATGCGATCTCTCTTTTAGCGAATTTCGAACCAGCTAACATTGCTGAAGCATTAAAAGATCCTCATTGGAGAAAATCCGCCAAAGACGAATTTCAGTCGATGGAATCCAATCGAGTATTCTCCCTTGTTCCTCCAGTTAAAAACCGCAAACCCATCAAACTGATTTGGGTCTGCAAGAACAAGCTGAATCAACAAGGCGACGTTGTCCGAAACAAGTCACGTCTTTGCGCGCGAGGCTTCATCCAAATTGCCGGTCTGGATTACGACCAGACATTTGCGTCAGTTGTCCGCTACACCACCACACGACTGTTACTTGCAATCAGTTGTCAGCTGCGGAACCACATCTTTCATTTCGACATTCAAACCGCGTTTCTCAATGTGCAGATCTCGATGAATATCTGCACCACGCAAGCACCCGATTCTGTTGATTCACAATTTCCAACACACGTCTGGAAACTCCAAGAAGCTATCTATGGTTTGCACCAAAGTCCGCGATTATGGAATAAGACTCTGTCAAAACTTCTTCATGGCATTGTCTTCTCTCAATCTGACTTGGATCCCAGTCTGTACCACAATCAGGACAAGCGAATTCTATTCTTTATGTGGATGACCTGCTCGTGTCAGCCCCAACCTTAACACTGATCACGGAGTTTGCCACAGCACTGTCGGACCGTTTCAACATCACCAATCTCGGACCCGCCAAAAGTTTCATCGGCCTTGACATCGCCTACGACAGAAATCTAGGAAAGTTGCATCCGTCCCAAGGCTCATACATCAATCGAATGTTTTTCAAATTCGGTTTCCAAGATGTCAATCCTGCTGCTATCCCAATGTCACCAGGAGCTCCAGTAGACTCCTCAGCCCCCGCAACAGATCAACCATATCGCTCCCTCATCGCTTCCCTCATCTTTCTCTACAACTGTTCGCGACCAGACATTGGCTATTCCACCATACGAATGGCGCAGTTCTGCACCGTATTCAACTCGTCACATTGAAATACAAAATTACACATTCTCAAATATCTGAAATCAACCATCCATCATGGTATTCTTTATTCATCAG